GTTTTCCAAAAAGCGTAAGGTACTGTACTGTTTGGATTCCAATTGAATTAGCTGCGACAGAAATAGAAACTGTTATTGTAAGGGGTTTTAAATGGTTGAATATGATAGACAGGAAGAGTAAACGCGTGTTGTTATCTACTTAACTCTATGGCTAATAAACCCCCCATTAAACTACTATATAAAACAACATTCAGAAATTAACGGCCTTTAAATAAGACGTACACACTCGGTTCTTGCTGTAAAAATATCATTAAACTCTACCTTTACAAGACTCGAACTACCAGTCAGATATAATGATTAACTGTAATTTATTATACTTGATGTTGAGTGACGAGTTCATTAAGAATAAAACGTTATAATGTCATTTTAAACACCACTTTTTGTTTCTTTGCCGATTGATATTCCGTGGACAGTTTTAACTTAGATGGGCAGTTTTGCTCTAGCTAAGATGACACCCACCATCACCCAAGTAAAAAACCAAAATAAAACTAAACAGGAACTGGCACTAAGTTTCCCCAACAAAACTTTTTGCTTCATGTTAAAACTTTTGTACTTCAGATCTACAACGGCCTAACCCATTCTTTTAAGATAAAAACGCACCTATATTTAATTTCAGCTCTCTTATATTTATCAAGATATAAATCTCTACTTTGTTTATGTGAAATAAAAAAGAGAGGGTGTATAGTTTGTTCTTACGCATGTTTCTCTATGAGACTTTAAGGTGTTTGTAGTTGATTCATACGCTAACGCTTAGTTCATGCTCTATCTTTATTTTGTAACATGCACTTCTTTCTATCTCCAGTGGCACCATCCAGTGCCGCTATAAGTCTCATGTGAAAATGTTTTTATCTCCTATGTTTTTGAAATAATTCATCCATTGTTTGTGCTTATTTTATCTTAAGAGGATAATTTTGACACTTAAATAAAAGATTTATATTTCTGTAAAGAGGTGACTTAATCTCTAAAGCTTTTTATTTTAACCTGAAAAAAACCTGCAAAAAATGTATCAACAAACATCAAAAGTCACTAAGTTTAATATGAATATTACATTGCGTGAGACGTTGCGATCGTGTCACGCACCATGTCCAAAAACACAGGTGTATGATCCCAGATCAAAGAGACCGCTTTCAGGTGAGCGCGAAAATCACACTCGATATCCCCACTTGACAGAAGGAATGTCGGCTGTGATGTGAGTAGTTCGAATCAAGACATCTCCGTGATGGTTACTTTGAAGACTTGATTGACAATGGTAACACAATACATGCTAATCAAACAATATATACATATATACTAAAGCCTTATAGACTAATAGTTCACTTTTGCTCGTGCCTTGGCATTTCTTATATAGATGACGATATAAGCTACTTATTAGCGCCAGTAATAATAGCACTGTTTATCTGTATTGTCACCATGACAAATTGAAGTCAACATTCCCTCATTTCGCAAATTGTTCGTCTTCGTCAAAAGTCATGATTAAAACGAGGGACATGCACCAAGTTGCTCTGTAAGTTGACCTCTAGCTGCGTGTTCTGTACACATCAAGGTACCTTAACATTGGTAGCAGCTTTAATCTTACAGCCAAGATAATAAGGTACCCATTCCAGTGTCTTGCAATAGTGCCATGTCATAACAGCTCAACCAACAGATCTCACCGGGACTGACAAAATGACATCCAGTGACACATTGTGAGCAACCAGCTGCAAAGCTGTGACTGACAAACGACATCCTGTGACACTTACAGTAAGCAACCAGCTACAGTAGCTGTGGTTGACAAATGCTATCCAGTGACACTTACAGTAAGCAACCAGCTGCAATATCTGTAGTTGGCAAATGATATCCAGTGACACTTACAGTAAGCAACCAGCTGCAGCTGTGGTTGACAAATGATATCCAGTGACATTACAGTAAGCAACTAGCTGCAATAGCTGCGGCTGACAAATAGTATTTAGTGACAACAATGACAGTGGGTATCCAGGTACAATTGCCGATACAGTGTATTTGGTGCACAATGAAGGCAGGCATCTAGCTACAATCCTCCAGAATACTAAATGCTGCACAACAGTACTAAAAAACTAATTTGTTGGCAATGCTAAAATACAAACATAGGTTTCCATTATAAATAGCTTTAAATTACAGCAAAAGTTTAATTGAATCATACGTAATGTTTATACCGGCTATTCTGCCACAGCGCTTGATCTAAAATATATAATTGTGGCGATACATTTAAATCATAGTCACAAGAATTCACCTCAGCTCTGACAAAAACTTCATTGACAATAGTGTCTCGTCTTTGACAGCTCGGGAGCCAAAAATATGAAATAACGTTTCACCTTTTAATAATAGTTCTATACAAGTTCAGAGAATGAATAAATTATCCTTTTTTTTGTGACTTGACGTGAATTGGGATCTTCAGGTTGGGATGAATCGCCACATCAAAAGAATCGAGCGCTGATTTAGTGAGAAAGTATTAAGGTGTCAGATTCATTTCAATAAAGCCCTCACTTTCTAATCCGTCTCTCTCTATTAGAAAACACTCGAAAATAAATAATCAGACATAACAGAATAATACCCCCACTACCCTTTCTATATAGCTTATAGTAAACAATTGTTCACACTACTATACTATTATCATATATTTCAATTTTACTTTGCATTATCAACTTATTATTCCATATAATATGAAGTGGGGGCTGTCTATATAAATTTCCCAGTCATTTTGATTCTAATCTAGTGTATGAAAAACACATATTCAGCTCCCTCGTCGATCGAATAGGCATTAATCAGTCAAGCCCTACAATCTGATAATAGAATATTCAATGAGATTTATTGATATACCAATCCATAAAACTATTCACCAACCTTTCCTTGAATTAATCGCAACAAAATATATTCTTTTCAAATTGTACAAAATTTGAAAACATGTTTTCATTTTTAAAATCTTATTTATATATTCTTTTCTGTATTGTGGTTATTTAAGAAGCTGTTTATATAATCTCTTTAAGCCATTGACCATCTCCATCAGACATTTAACGTTTTATTTAATACCATTGACATTAAAGGGGGAGAGTGAGGAAGTTGTACTTTAGTTTATTCTAGATATCTTACACTGGGCATGACCAAATCAATGAGTACTTGTAGGAAATATCAATTCTGCTCCGTCTTATGGATTTATCTCGCATGTGATCGCCCTGTATCAAAATCTGGATGCATATACGTTACCATCAAGATGTTGCGGGTTGAGAGTATATTGGCCTTTTTGGAATATTGGATCTTAGCACTTATTCATATGATACTGTATGAGTATAAGATTCACATTTGGCTGGAAAGAAGATGAAAACAGAAGTTTGGATTCAATACGGCCTTATAAAAAAATTGCTAAACCGTTCACATTCATAACAAAACAATTAGGATTAGTGAATCATTAGTAATATCCATTAATTAATTAGTTAGTGAATAATATTTAATTTTTTTTTTTATTTTGTTGATGGTGATCATCAATATATTTAAACGTTTCAATCGCAGGTAAAACTGCAGTACCCCCACTTTAACATAATGTGACTTATGTATTCAAATTTTAAAAAGACATGCCTTTTTGACACCCATACCGTCTGTCTACTGCATTGAAAACTCTTAAGTGGCTGAAATGCATTGGGTATTATATTTATTAAATACATATCATGTTATTAATAAGGCGTTTTTTTGTGAAAGATGTCTATGTAAGTACTCTAGCCGTATTCTTAATAACATATCATTTATCAGAAGAATTGAATACCAGTAAATTGACAGGTGTCAAAGGTATTTCATTTAGAGATTTTTCATTCTGTTAAACTTTGGACAGGATTGCTTTGAAATGTGAAGGAAATTATTATATTAGATTCAAAGTGCATAGAATTGAGTTCATGGATCAGTGTGTCTGTAAAGACCTTCCATACAAACTATTTATTTAAGGCATGTTAGGCGATGGGTTATTTGTATGGAGAAATTCAACTTATTGTCGGTTTAGCTCAATGCTTTTCTTCCTAAGTTTATTATGGTAACATTAAACTTCACACTACTACGAATTTCATCAAAGCTTTTATTAGTTTCACTTGCCTACAACGAACTTGTCGACTTTGTTGAAAAAATAATAAATAATAAAAAAATTAATAAATCAAAAATGTAAATAAAAAGATTGATCATATCTTTTTAAAGCCTTCAAAATTTTATGTGAGTTTTGAAGTGTTAGGTACAAATACCGTCATATGTAATACATTATAATAGAATGTAAAACGGTTTGTTACATTAGAGAAATCATTCATTTCATTTTTGTTATCAAGTGTAATTTTTAGTACTCTAGACAAATTGTCTACGTGCTAAAATATTTTAAATATTACATTTTCATTCAAAGAATTTGATAAAAAAAAAAGGTATTTAGTGTCACGAAATGATGTATCTTTTATCACGCATACTGTACCAAACCCTATCGATTACAGGTATATCATCTTAATTTAATTTTGATATGGGGTTAGCGGGTACAAAATTCAAATACTTTGCAATAAATTAATCGTTTAGACCAAGCCCGAGAAAAGATTTCCTGATAGTGCAAAATGTCCTCACCCACCTTCCGATAGTATTATACAGCGCCTTAAATATGAGGTACCCTTAATCCGAAATTTAGTGTCACAAATATTAATTATGTCCCTCAAACACAAAAGTGAATATTTTCAATTGTGACAGGTTTCCAAATAATGTCACTGTCAACTAAAAGTGCACAACAAAATTATAACTTGTCTTAACAAACCATAAACTATCATTGTTCCAATGCAAATCAATGAACCCGTAACATGTCTTACTTGATGAGTTTGGGTTGTTTTGTTTTTTTATTTCAAGAAAAAATATAAAACACAGAACCAAATTGATCGACCCAATCCGATTATTTTGGGTCGTTACCTGAATAAAGGGAGACAACTCTATAATATTTATTCAACCTTTTTTATGTTTTTATTTTTTTGTAATTTCAGTCTGTCTATAACTTTGCTAAAGTGGCGTGTAAGTGTCATGGAGTTTCTGGATCCTGTTCCTTGAAGACATGCTGGCAACAGCTTCCCAACTTCCGGGAAATCGGCAATCGTCTAAAAGATCGATATGATGCGTCAACAGAGGTTAAATTCAACAAACGCGGAACAAAGCTGGTACGAAAAGAAAAAAAATGGAATAAATTCACGAAAAATGATATTATTTTCTTAGACGAATCTCCCGATTATTGTCATGTAAATGAAGTAACGGGGTCGGTCGGAACAGTTGGTCGCGAATGTGATCGTAATTCAGAGGGACTCGGTGGGTGCGGACTTTTGTGTTGTGGTCGTGGCTACAACACCTTTAAGAGAAAGCTTGTAGAGCGTTGTAACTGTAAATTTCATTGGTGTTGTTTTGTGCGTTGTGGTACATGTGAACGCTTTGTGGACGTACACATATGTAGATAAGAACAACTGCCAGTGAAAATCTCATTTATGAATCTCTACGCCAACAGGAAGTTGTGCTATATTAAACGGAAGTGCTCTCACCACAATATTTGTGGTGTCAGATTTGAACTTGAATATCAACAATCCGTGTCGTAGGATGAATTTATTTTAGTGACGACAAATACATGTAATATGTTTGATGAATGACTAGGTTGTGGTTTTATTGGCATGATCGAAGGACATGACTTAAACTGATTAGCCAAGAACATGGTATATTAGACCAGAGACATTAAAATAAGGTCAAAGTGTCATGATTTTACTTATAAGGACAAGCTCGATCACGTGTCTTGATGATTTTAATCAAGTGACAAGCTTAGCCCTGTGGAAACAAAACAGTGAATAAATTAGTAATAAATAAAAGACAAGCAAGTTCGGCATTTTAAATATATATTTTGATTGTAAATATTTGTAATGTTAATATTAATTGTATTGATATTTATTGTTGTAATATATTTCTTATTTTAAAATATCAAAATGGCGGCATCACGACGTGAGTGACGCCATTTGATATTAAGAAAATGTCGTGTGCAAGAATTTATGTATCTCAGGTAGTTTTCCGCATTATTTCACCATAGAAACCACGACTCGAGTATCCAGTTTAATATGTAGATTTGTACGTATTGGTGTCTGTACAATAGTTAGGGCTGTATATTGTAATTACACATGTAGATTACAATATGTATACTATTTTGCTACCTTATAGAATGTGACATTATGAGTGATAATATAGATACAATACATTTTATTTACATGTAATAAATAATGTAACCAACTGATTTGGCCGAACACCACATTCATTTTACCAGCCATGGCAAAGAATAATAAAAATTGGTAGCGAAGCTGATCATTGGGTATCCCAGCGACCAACCCTTCGACGGCTAGAATAATTAGTAAGCTTATAAGAACAGCATATTTGATATTTTAATTATTAATTTATCACAAATTAGAGATATGTTTGAACTATGACAATGATGCAATTATTGCGGCGGCATATTAACTCGGTACTTTAGTCTTCAACTGTGAACATGATATTAAAAAAACTAATTATCATAAAGCATGTAAAAGTATTGATATAATGTGCTATTTCAACTAGTGATTGGACAAGCCCTATACGATTAAATGTGTGTTTGGTTTACTGTCGACTGTAGAACACAAAATCGGTTATATTTCAACATGGCTATATCACCATCCCATAAAACAGATAACATATAATATCCAATGAAATTTTGACCCAAATCAAAGAGGTCTAGTCATTTTAAATATATCAAAATAAAATCAGGACAAATGAAACGCAACAATTATATTGTAATAATTTATGATTGAAATATATACCAAGATGTATGTATGTATAAGTTATTTACATATTATGTATAAGTAGTAAAAGGAGACAGGCCTTATGAAGTTAAAAATCTGTATCTAGATTTATATAATGTATTCAGATAACACTGCCGAAGTACATGTATGTCCCGCACAATTGTTTCGCCACACCTCTTCAAGACGTCCACAGAACATTCGTAACGCTACAATCTCTCCGAAACCACCGCAAGATACGACAATACAAGTTCATGAAAAATTTTACTTTACCTCACTTTCGTTCATTTCTGCTGAATGTCAGTTTCGCGGGAAACAATTCAAGGGAGGCTACTCTGATGTGGACATTTTTTTAAACTGATTGTAAGCTTCCTATTTAGATGATTAACATATCAGCATTGTGTTATCCCACAAACCTAGCAAGTCATAATATGATTTGATCAGGGTAATTTTTTAAAAAAAATGAAGAATTTAGTATGTAGATAATTGCCACATTATTTATGAACTGACAAATTGTGGTTTAGATGTAGGTTGTGGACAACTACTACAAGGTCGTGTTTGACTGACCAGTATCTGAATCTGGGTTCCTTTATTTACCTTTAAGAATTTGCTCTTTTAACTGTGATCGTGTATTGCTTACGTTCCTGTCATTCTGTCCACAAGTCCTTGTAGACGCTCTAGGGGCTAAATATATCATCCGACTGACTTGAAATTTATACCCAGTGCTTATGTTGATGAGATGAATAATTCTGTTGACTTCCAGCGGTTACTTAGAGTTATTTCCCTTTATCACCTTTTAAATTTGATTGGCGTTTTGTTCATGATACTGCTAGAGAGATACCTATCAACTTTAAATGATTTCCGATACTTACTGTCTGCAGGGATGTTACCTTTAGTTACCGTTTAGTCTTATGTTGGCAACAACCTATAAGGACGGCTCGAACGGTTTGCTGTTGTGCGCGCATGGTTCGTTGCCTGGCAACCTATATACCAAGTTAGCGTGTAATGTTCAGTCTGACCTGAAATGAAATAGGTAGAGGATGAATTCAAAATGAATCTGAATTCAGACCCACACGGATTCATTTTAATCAAATATAACCCAAAAGTACAGTATATTGGTTCATTTTGCTAAAGGCTATTCAGTGCCCCTCCCCTCTAAGTTATAAACTAATATTAAATACGACAGTGTTAACTCGTAATTTCAGGGAATTTACAATAATTATTTCATCATACAGGCCTCTTTTATTTAAGAACACTGAACAATTTAACAGTTCAAAATATGAAAACACTATGAGAAAGTACAGTTCTTGGTTTGCTTAAATAACATGTGTAGTAAAATTAGTTCTGTTCTATAAATTAAGTAATTCTGAAACAAAGGGTGTACATTATTATATACTAATTACACTGTAAATAAATCTCAGAAATTCGAAAAATAATGTTTGTTTTACTTTATATATTGACGATATTTTCGTAGTAATGGTATGGGTTAAATCTTTTCCACATGGCCACCTACAGATTTCCCCAAGGTCACGAGATGTAAACAGGGTTGGGGCACATGATTGTTACCGCGGATTGTGGGTTAGGATTAGGCTAAGGGTTAGCGCTAGCGCTGTTTACATCTCGTGACCTATAACGAAATCTGCAGGTGGCCCTGTGAAATAGATCCAACCATGTGGATTGGTCCTAAGTATCAATTTCCGTCCTGTATATTGACGATATTTTCGTATTTAAAAATATGTAGTACATGGGATGAGAAATATTAACTTCCGCCCTCACCAAGTGGGAGATGAGATGAAATGGAGTTTAACGTCTAACTTTTCTGCACCAACCGGGTTAATAAAGATGTGCATACTTCATTCTATGATGGACGTTTTGCCTGGCCTACTATTATTTGTCTGGGGATCTTTAACGTTCTTACGGTGGTTCGTAATATTCGAATCCCCCGCCCCCAGTCCTTAGTACTGACAAGAGGGAAGCAGGATTGGCCGAGACCTGAGCTGAGTCAGTATGGCTCGAAGTTAAATTTGATAGACGTAATCTGTGTTGGTTGTTTGTGGTGAGTTAGGAAAGAATGGACGTGGATCCAACTTTACCATTATATGCCCCACACTAGGCCTACTGAAACCCACAGTCGCACCGAGCTCCTTGCTTAATTGGGCAGTCCTGGGTTGTACACGTGGGCTATCAACCCTAAATGAGTATTATTATACAGTTTACGAAAGCACCAATCCGATTAAAATATAGATCTATATTTCGTTTCGTTTTTTATACTTTCAATGGCCTACACTACATGAAGATCAGCGTTGGCGTTTCTAGGGGTTTACCCACAGTTCCGCGCAGAGAACGCCAAGAACTCGCCGTAACAGACCGTTTCATTGGCTAAGTCCTCACATCAACTAGAACGCCTGTTATATAATAACTCTTCCAGATGCTCGATTCAGTCCAGGACGTCCCGAATTGGCAGAATTGCAATTGAGTGACCCGGAATTCATTCCTGTCACAGTTCTGCCATACCCGACTACGGAGGTGGTGTGAGTAGAGTCTTGACGTAATTAAACACAACGAGTATGTTTCGGCTGCATGGTTGGTTGAGAAATGAAATGAAATGTGGTTTAACGTCCTACTGTTCGGCTCCTAAACTGGGCTAATGAAGACGGGCATACGTCATACAGTGTGCTATGAGGGAAATTTTGCTCGGGCAGCGGCGCTACGGCCTACTCTTATATCGAATTCTAACTGCCAAGGGATCTTTTATGTGCACGCCAATATGTACACGGGACCTCGTTTTTCGTCCCATCCGAACGACTAGACAGCTGTCCTTGTCAGGCCCTCCGTCCTGCATCACTGACAAGGGGAAATCACGCCGGAATGGTTGGTTGAGATATTTACTCATTCAATCGACGCATGCGTTGTAGTCCGAAATACCCCTTTTCACTCGATTGTCACTATTTTTGGGATTGAGAGAGTTCAATTCCGGAACGTTCAATCGAGTGCACCCCCCCCCCTCCCCCTAGTGTTGTGAAGACAAGTAAAACAAAATTTTGAACTATAAAAAACGAAACAAAATAGGATCTGTGTTTTAATCAGATTGCGAAAGAACGGACTTAGATTCAACTTTCACCATTTAAAAACGATGCCTACAGTACAGTGTATTCGTTTTTATATTAACAAACGGAACATCAAACTCAAAGTATTTGGTGAACTCGGTGTACAATAAAACGGGGATGTCCATAAACGATACCTACAGTACAGAAAACCCTCGCGCCAATGTATTCGTTTTTATATCAACAAACGGAACATGAAACTAGAAGTATTTGGTGAACTCGGTGTAAAATAAAACAGGGATGTCTAATCCTGTCCAGACTTTTCTTTCCACACATAAAAATCAAATTAGGCCTAATTTACTTAATCCGGATAATTGAAACATAACAGAGCATACCATCGGGCTGATCGCAACTTCGTATGAAAGGTGAGGCGGACAAAACATACTCGGGGCTGCCAATGCTGCACAAAGAAACGACACCTAACGTCTGCCCCGGGATTAATTTTGCCTCCTTCAAATGCTTCGGGACAAAGGGTCCCATCTCCGTTTATTGACCTACACAGTATCTATAAGTTTTTGTCTCTGTCTTATATCGTCTATGCAAGATGTATTCAAATTTATCTCTAAATATTTATTTCGACAGCTTAGAAATAAAGACAATGTCGGAGACAAATTCTGTTCTTCTATAATAGATAGATTTTTACGCAATCAAGCCTCAAAATGTCATACAGCTCAAATCTCAGTCTGAAGACAGTAGAATAGACACACCGCTTGACTGGAGTGCATTTTAGGTCAAAGGTTAGACAGATAGGGTACAAATAGTTTGTTCTGTCCATCACCATAGCACCTACTTAAGTGGCAATCGAAGGTTAGTTTACCAAGTGATTCAAAATTCGTCTCAAATTTCGCCTGAATTACGTGGTTTATAACTATGGCCTTATTATTATACTCTTGAAATCAATAGCCGAAATATACATACGCTGCTTACTCTTCAGTGTATATAAGCCATCAACAGTTATTTTACATGCACGTTAGAGAGTGCGGGTTGACCAGGGTTTTTCGTCTTATTCATACGAACACACCCTTCCCCTCGCAATACCCTCTGTGCCACACCACTGACAAGGGAAGACCATGCTTGGAAATGCCGAAGTATTTTCTCGGTCAACACCGGATCTCCTGGTTAGTGATCCTTCAAAATGAAGGGAAAACAAATATATAATAGAATGAAAAGAAATGGGGTTTAACGTCCTACTGTTCTGCTCCGACTGGGCTAATGAAGACGGGCATGCGTCATACAGTGTGCTACGGCCTACTCTTATATCGAATTCCAACTGCCAAGGGATCTTGTACGTACACGCTCATGTGTACAGTGGACCCCAGTTATTGGTCCCGTCCGATTGACTAGATGCCCGTCCTCCACCATTAAAATGGGGAAACCACGCCGGAAAATCCCGATAAACTTTCTCAGCCAACACCGGGATCGAACCCGCGACCTCCAGGCTAACGAGCCAGCGTCTTACTCACTTAGCCACCGTGGCTCCAAATAAATAGTAGAATAAAATCATATCTTAAAGATGCATTATGTAAGTGCTAAATCTGTCTTTATTTTGGCTTTAAAACTTATATATACTATTATTTAGACACTTATTCACATGACAAGTCTATAAACACTCTAGGGCATCGGATGGCTGAGATTTAAATACGGTTTGCCATTTAATGATTACCGTTGTTACGATGATAAACAATCTATGCCACATCTTGCCAAAACTTCAACCTGCGATAACTTAATTTGAATTAAATTTTCAATATATTCATTTTGCATTTATCTATTTTTGAACTATTATTAGCGAGAACGACCAGCTCTTTATCTAAACCTTACACAACACATCTAGTTACACGAACCTACTGCCTCATAATTAAGAAAAATACATAGGGCTAAAGACTGGGTGTGCATAATGTTGAATAGAGTTATTTAGAATACAATTTTTGTTTTGCTTATATAGCGTTGAAAGCGTCAGGTGGCAAAGTCTATAGTTGAAGAACATTACTTCTATGATGAAAATGGATTTACCTTCTAGTTGACATATACATAATTTCGGGTGACTGAACCCATTACTTGTTTTCCTTGAAAAATAATATTTCTGTCTCTTCGTTTTACGTGTCTATCTTGAAAATGCCATTATATATACGATCATTATCCGTGTCCGTGTTGGGATATATTTTATTCAATTGTGGACACAACGGTTGAAAATTTTCTCTCGTGAAGCCGACTCGCGGCCATGATATTGGGTGTGAACAAGTGACGAGATCGATTGTCGGAATGTTTATATTAACAAAACATAGAATTTATTCATATTGGATATCGCTATGAACTATGTGGTTGTGCCTTAAACTGCTTCTATGTATCCATTTAATTTCAATAGTAGCAACAAATTCGTCACAAGCAAGGTAAGTCGTTCGCTAGTTAAAAGATTTCTGCAATATCTACTTCCAAATAAACTTTCATACGTGTATCTATGTCAAGCACCGAATCTTAAATTTCCTATTTGAAGATTTTGTGTGGCATAAGCCTCTTATCAGAAACAAATGACCGGAGGATGGTGGAAAAAACGAACACTTTTAGCGAAAGCACTAATCTAAGGAAATGTATCCTTAGGTATAAATTTAATTGCAGATGATTTTTTGTTAACATAGTACTTACCCTGTCTGAAGAAAAAAAGTTGTCTATATCTTAACATAAATTGAGGGAAAATACACAATATTCTGGGGCAAAATTTGTAAGAAAAAAAATCAAATAAAAACCATTTATTTGAAAGAAATGTTAACAAAAAATTCAAATAAACGTATCAGACAAATTAATTACTTATTAGAGGGCATGCTATGAAACATGTTACAAAATAGACTGATGTAGTAGAAAGCGGAGAGGTAGAGCAGTACGTAAAATTCATGAGAAATGACTAAATGAGATTTTTAATGTAAAATGTCAGCAGAAATTATGTTCTTAAAACACATCTGGTTTATCTCACTATATGCGTACTACGTGGTCAGAACGGTGCATCCAATCATATTGTCTTAATCAAAAGATGCAGAAGATTGCGATTTAACTGAGCTAGACAACGAACAACACAAGAAAACTGAGGAACAAAACACGGGTACAAATACATAACAATGCAAGTGTCCTTACTAAATTTAAATGTCAAAACTGAATCAAAAACTCTTTTATGGATATGTACAGGGTCACTATCCTACCCTCACACCTTGTAAGTGTACGATATGCGCCACTTCTTGTAGTTTTCATAGAGAAAACTCACCTCAGTAAAATTTAGAATATCAGGTGGACACATTCTCAGCATATCTTTCAACACTTAAATGTTGAAAACGATGTTA